ATCATTAATGAGCAGAATCCATCATCAACATGGAGGGATATCCTCTGGAATGGTGGCTGAAGCATGAAGGGACATATAGAATCTTTAGTGCATCTGGCACATAAATCTCTCGCAATGCTGGCTATAATAGTGCCATGGGAACACCTTTTCCCACTTTCAGATGTAAACAAGCAGGCAGCATCATCTTCTGAAAATGTAAACAAACTTGTCTGACTGAGCAACTGGCTGCACAAATAGGATGGAGTGGACCTTCAAGGATCTAAAGTTTTACACTGTTTTATTTTTGAATGCAACTATTTGAGTACATAATCCTATATTTTTAAATTCAACTGTAATGATAAAAGAAATTGCACTACAGTACTTATATTAGGTGAACTGAAAAATAATTTTTCATATTTTACAATGCAAATATTTGTAACAAAAACAGTGAGCACTGTGCACTTCGTATTCTGTTATAATTGAAATAAAATATCTGAAAATGTAGTAAACATCAACAATGTTTTCTATTACCATTTTAATCGTAATATTAATCATGATTAATTTTTTCATCCTAGGCCCTATACCCCCTATGGATGGCCCTTTCCATAGTGTAGACCTGGCCTTACTCTTTCCTTTGTCTTTTTCCCCCTTCATAATGTATTTGTAGAACCTCTTCTGATTATCCTTTATGTCCCTTGCTAGGTGTAATTCATTTGGTTCCTTAGGTCTGATCTACATTATTGGGTTAGATCCATATAACCTGCCTTTCATCAATACCGAACTGTAGAAGTGACTTCACATAAATTTGGCTCCAGCAATGCAATCACCTCTCTGCACTGACTGAAGTAACACTGTCTCCCCAAGTGAGGTAGAGTCATGGTAGATGTAATAGGTCAACGCAGTGTGGTGTAAACATTGCATCATTTATGTAGACTATTACTGGCTTTCAGGAGCCATCCCACAATGCCCCACACTGAAAACAAAATTAGTACAAGCGCTTCTAGTGAGAACAAACACCGCCAACACAAAGAGCAGAGCATGAACAGACCCAAGAAATGTAATAATTGTGGCAACAGTTTGCCGATGTAAGTTAGGTCAACATAATTTTGTAGTGTAGACATGGCCTTAATCTTTCTGATTCTGTCTCTTCATGCTTGTGCTATTCTTTTGTACTCACCCTTAACAATCTGTGTTTCTACTTTTTGTAGGATACCGCTTCTGTTTCCAGGTAAAGAGTTCCTGATGGAACCATCTTGGCTTCTTACTATTCTTCCTATCTTTTCATTGCACTGGATAACGTGCTCTAGTGTCTTTAATACTGCCTCACTGAGACATTGCCAATTCTCCTGAAATCCTTAATAGTAGTAGAAGCAGCAATAGAAGCAATGCTGCAGGTCAACAGTGATATATATATGGACAGTGATAGTAGGAACCAATCTTCTAGCTTTATCTTATGCCCTTAGTCATATACATCAAATAAATATAATTTCAGCATGGTCTTGCATAGAGATGTTAAAGGTTACTCAGGAAACTGATAAGCAATTGCTTATCAGTTAATAGTCCCAGTTAACTGCAACAACCCCCCCTCCCATTTATAAAAATACACATTATACAGCAGGTGTCAAACATCTGACATTTATGTGGGCCACATAGCATATTCAGATTCCACATAATCTAAACTTTCATCAAAAAGATGCATTTAAAGCCCTTATGGCTTACAAACAGTAACCAAGTGTAACTGATGCAGTGCTGTCTGTAAAGTCTGCAGAACCCCGGAAATAATGGTTGACCAAAATATGACCTCCTTAGGGCCTCGATTCATCCATCTAATAATTATACTTAATATCAGCTATATGTATTTTATTGCTGATGAGATGAGATAGGAATGGGTGTAAGAGAAAAGACAGTATGTGTTTATGTATGTATGTATGTGGAAAGGGGGATTAGGAGTTACTGGTGGGAAAGAAATGGAGATGGAAGGAAAGCAAAGAGAGACAGAAAAAGAAAAGTGGAAAGGGAAACACAGGGCAGGAACAGTGGCATTAAAGTTGAGAGCAGCAATGGGCAACCAGGACTAGTGAGTTGTCTGCATGCGTGGCCCTCCATCTCAGTGGCTGTCATGATTGCCAGTGGTGGGCAACCTGTGGCCCGCAGCCCCCTGGGGTTCCACCTGTGGCCCACAAACCTACCTCTGCCGTCTACCCCCACACCTCATGCACACTGGAGCTTCACACTTCCTACTCCCCCCCCCAGCTATTTCAGAGTGCCATAAATCCACTGATTGGTGCTCCGTCCCCACTTCTTCCCTTCCCTCCCCTCCCAGAGCTTGAACAGCCATGAACAGCTTATTTGTGATGTTGCAAGGGAGGAGGAGAAGCGGGGACAGAACGCAAATCAGTGGAGATGTTGCGCTTCGAAAGTGCTGGGAAGGAGGGAGGGGGAGGAGTAGGAAGTGTGGGGCTCTAGTGCGCAAGAGGCGCATGGAAGAGGGGGGCAGACAGGCAGTGTGTGGACCGCAGGTGGAACCCCAATGGGCCGCATGTGGCCGATGGGCTGCAGGTTGCCCACCACTTCTCGGGAGTATTTTCTGAAAGTAATATTGCAACCACACGCAATACCAAAGAGATAACTAACATGTCAGTTACAAGCTATATTCTACCTTAGACCTTTGTGTAAACATCCCACTGACATTTGCAAAAAAATCACTGTGAATTAAGGATGGTACGTGGTCCTAATTATGGGCTCCAATACCTTATTTAGAAATAGAATGTGGCCCTCTCCAAAAATTAGATTGACACCTCAGTTATAGAAGCAGAGATATGAACATCTGGAGGTGTCTAGGAGCTCAACTTTTTTCTTTTCCTGGGGGGAAGAGATGGGGTTGTTCTCCTATGTCTGCTTTTCACGACACAAAAGGTTCAATAGCTGTGACACCAGTTCCAGCTTTGGGAAAAGGCTGCAATTTACACATTGCTTTAGTACAACCCTCATTGAAAGACTTGCATAGAGACTCAAAACAGCAATATTTAAAGGTCAGTTATGGATAAGCCAGGTTATTTAATCGCACCACTAGCAGAGAGACAAGCAGAAAAAAAAATTGACTCCGTACCTACTGACCTGGAAAAGGCCAAACCTATAGTTAAAAATCATCAATTAAATACTTGGCTGCTGGAATGAAGACAATTGACAAAACCAGAAACTCTTATATAAAACAGTTTGGCTTCATCCACAATGGCTAGCCAAATCTTCTTAGAACTTTGTTCAAACCAGACCAAGATTAAATGTTTGTCCCATAAATTTAACACATATGCCCAACTTCAAACACATACATATAGCCCCTTTGACCTCAATAATATTAAACATGCTTAAAGCATGTGTGTTAAGTGTTTGCAGGATCCAAGCTACTGCCATGATTGCTTTGGTACTGTAGACAGAACAGTGCCCTCACTTCTGACCAGCTGGCATTAGAGGGGAAGTGGAGTTATATTTGATCTCGCACATTTCAGGAACTAAACAGGGTTGGGCATGGTCAATATGTGACTGGATTTTCCTTTAAATCCCCAGAGTGCTGCAAAGAGTGAAATTGGCAGTACCATAAATTATGCTGCTTCCTTTAAATTGGTACTGAACTAATAATCCCAAATGATAGTGTGCTGAATTGGCAAACGCAAAAATTCAAAAAAATCACAAGTCAAACACTCTCCAAAAATCATGAAACTGCCTTGAAATCATGAATTTTTATTTATATAAATGCTGGATTATTTTAATTTGCCTTCATTGTATGGCCAGGTCCTGTTTTCAAACTTTTCTTTGAAATAGAGCTTAGATGAAATCTAAGATTCTCAAGTCTGAATTCTTGGAGGCATTTCACTAACTAAAATATAAATATAGTGAAATTAATAATAAAAGTTCAAGGAAAGTGACAACAGAGAGTAAAAACCCCAGTATTGCTTATAAGTGCCATTTTTTCATATAAATAATGGCCACAAAATGTTTTAACACCTTGTTTCTATTACACCTTTTTTGCAAGTGAAGGGATATGATGAGTCCTGGTGTTCTAAGCAAATTCCAATATAAAATTACAGTCTGCCTTTATATAGGAAGAATTTCCTGCTGGCAAACTATTCAAGTTCTGCAACATTGTGTACTGTTATATTACACTTACATTCCAGAAGTGAATGCATATCCTTGCCAAAAAAAATTATCCTGATATTTAATGTTTGTAAAGTTGGTAAAATACATGATATTCTTTGGATGAAAGACACCAATTCTCACTATTTTATTCTGAGTCTTCTGATATTTTTACAGCCTCAACTCCTGCATTTGAATAACTGTCTTCAGTTTTCTTTCTTTTTAATTAAAATTTAGCCCTTATGGTTCTGGAGGAAAGCTAAAAAATGTGAAGAAAGAAAGAAAGAAAGAAAGAAAGAAAGAAAGAAAGAAAGAAAGAAAGAAAGAAAGAAAGAAAGAAAGAAAGAAAGAAAGTCATCCAACATTTATTATTGTTTCAAAAATCTTGTTATTTTCAGAGGTCTGATTCACAATACTTTGAATGGTTGGTGTTGGCAATGTTGTATCTATCAATACCTATTCAGATGCTCTACCAAACCCACACCAAAACATGCATTTGTTGAAGCATTTTCTGATTTTCAAATCTAGTTCCAATCCACACAAATCCACACCAACTTTAAATACCTTTAGTTTAGTAAACCGCTCCTTTAGAAAGAAGCAAAAAATAAAACGAACCAAAATCAACAGCCACCTACAATAACAGTAACAGCACTCTACGCCATGTGTGCTAGCGATGAAGCAGCAAACAAGATTACTTTCCGTGTGAAACAGCAAAACTGACAGCTAGAATTTGGGACAGAGCAAGTGGTGTGACATGAGAGAATAAAACAGCTTTTAAGAGCCTGCTTTTATTTTCCCCTTTCTTGAGGGTTGTTTTTTTTTTATAAAGAAAATTCAGTATTGGTTAAAGATGACCGATTGGTTCCTGGTGTTTCCACCAACGATGGTACCTTGAGACCCAAACTGCAGCATCAGGATCGCTGAGTGGCTATAGCTGGCATTGCCAGTGCATGTGCTAAGTTGGCTCTCCATGGCTGTGCAGCTAGCAACAAGCGCTAAGTTATCAGAGAAGCTTGAGGGAAGCCCATTGCATGGCATCCATCTTTGCCAGGTTGGCGACCTCAGACTCAAAGCTGTTTGAGCCGAGAAAGGGATCAGAGCAGAGAGCCCCTACTTCCCTTCCACTGTCCTGGTTGCCTCAGACAGTCCATGTGGACTCATAGGAGCGAACTCAGATGTGATCCTGCAGGGGAGACCCGGACCTGTCAGCGATCTACGCTCCGGACTCAGTCCGATGGAGCGCGAGGCTCTGCTCGCAGACGGACTTGCAGCAGGCTGGAGAAGGAGTTTAGCTCGCTGGAGCGGGGGCTGAAAGGAGGATAGAGGCAGGAAGCAGCTGCTGACTGGCTTTAAGTTTAGGGCAATCAGTGCAACTTTCCAGGCGGAGAAGCAGCACTGGCTGGATCCTGGGGCTCAGCCAAGAGTGTGTCACTCTCTCCGCTCCACGGCGCCGGGTTTCCATCCACAGTCTCCCGCTAGCCCAGGGAAACACACCCGCACCGGCACACACTCCCGCCTCCTCCCCCCTGGAGGGGAACCCCCCTTCGAGCCGCTGGAAATAAGCCAGGAGGCTTTGGGTTACTTACTGGAGGCGGGGGCCAGCCCGCGCCCTTGGGCCGGGGGGTGCTCGCCAAATC